ACGCTTGGCCTGGATTCATTTATATTGTTCCATTTATCAGTAAAATTAGTTACATTGTCACTTAGTAATCAAGAAAAGTTAAATTGCTTGTCTTTTTTCTTAAGTTAGGAAGATGTGCAATAACTGTAAAAAAAAAAAAAATTCTGTCAAATTAGACAAATTTTATACTTATCACTTTTAGATTTTGAGAAACTTCATTATTAGTGATGTTGGATAAATTAAAATTTTAGACAGTGATCAGAAACTAAAATTGTTTTGAACCAAAAGCTTAACTTTCCAGTGTGTACATTATAGTATGTTATTAGATGTACCTCATTCTAAAGCCTAAGAATCAAGTATTAGACAAGAGTAGTATGTATATATAATATTTTGAATAGCTTATCCATCAGAATTAAACAGAAGAGTGAACATTTTACTTAAGAGAATTCCAATGATACTCTATTACTGGCTTTTTTTTTGTTTGGTTTTTTTGAGATGGAGTCTCATTATACTGCTCAGGCTGGTTTCAAACTCCTGGACTCAAGTGATTCTCCTACCTAAGCCTCCCAAGTAGCTGAGACTACAGGCATGTGCCACTCTGCCTGACTCCAGCACTGGTTTTTCACTTGATTTTTAGAAATGTTATTTGCACAAATATGTTTATCAAGGAGCTACATGAAAAGGAAAAATTCTTTTGGTACTTTACAAATAATCCTTTTAAAGACAAATTAAGTCGCTTATTTAATAAAAATTCACAGTGCTTTCAAATTGCAGGGCTTTTGTGAAAATTGTTCATTGTCATTAAATGATTGTATTTTTTCTTTCTTCAAGCAAATAAGCACAAGTGGGTACCACTACACTTAGATGATGTAAGACCAGACAGTCAGGAAAGACCTGGATCCCGAAACAGCTCAAGGTGTCAACCTGAAGCAAATAAACCAGCACATAACAATAGGAGAAATGATACACGAAGTAAGTTACCATTCTAAGAGAAAAATGACTAAGGAAAGAACTTGGTGGTCCTCGTGCTCATTATTCTAGTAACCATGTATAATGTAAATCAGCACTCCCCAACCTTTGTGGTAACAAGGACTGGTTTCATGGAAGACAGTTTTTCCAAAGGCCCCAGGGTCAGGGGTGAGGTGGGGATGGGGTTGTGTGGTGGTAGTGTGGTTTCAGGATGATTCAAGCACATTACATTTATTGTGCACTTTATTTCTATTATTATTACAGTGTCACTTGTCACTCACTGATAGGGTTTTGATATGTGTCTGCAAGCAATTGATATATTGTGGTCTCTGCAGTCAAACCTCTTTGCTAATGATAATCTGTATTTGCATCTGCTCCTCAGTGCTAGCATCACTGCCTCAGCTCCATCTCAGATCATCAGGCATTAGATTCTCATAAGGAGTGCGCAATCTAGATCCCTCGCATGTGCAGCTTTTACAGCAGGGTTCTCACTCCTATGAGAATCTAATGCCGCTGCTGATCTGACACAGGCGGAGCTTAGGTGGTGATGTGAGTGATAGGCAGCAGCTGTAAATACAGGTGAAGTTTCCCTCACTCAACTGCTGCTCACCTCCTGCTGTGCAGCCTGGTTCCTAACAGGCCCCACACAGCCTGGGATTGGTCCATGGCCCAGGGATTGGTGACCGTAGATATAAACTATTTAGGAAGTAAGTTGCACACATCATTTCCCTTTAACCCTAAAACCTTCCAAGTATATTTCATAAGAACAGTATAACCATAGCACAGTTAACAACAGTGAAACTTAACATTAATATACTGTGACTGTCCCCAGACAGATTTTCCGAATAATGTCCTAATGTCCTTTAGTTTTTTTTTGTTTTTGTTTTGCTTTTCAGGATCCAATTTGGGATCACCCATTGCTTTCAGTTTGTATTTTTTTTAGGCTCCGTTAATCTGTAGCAGTTTTGTCTTTCATGACTGATTTTTTTGAAGACAACAGAATAATTGGGCTATAGATATCCCTCACTTTGGGTTTTCTGATGCTTCCATATGATTGGATTTGGGTTATGAGTTTTTGGCAGGGATACTACAAAAAATACATGGTTTTCTTCTCAGTGTATCACATGGAAACGGGCATGATCTTGGTTTGTCCCACTATTGATGATATTAACATTGATCACTTGGTTGAGGTGGTGTACTCCAAATTTTTTTAAATTAAAATTTTTTTTCCAGATTTTTTTATCGTAAGGTTACTCTTGGTTCCCCCCATTGAACTTACTCTGTAGTTTGTGGAGAGAGGCTTCGAGACTGTGGAAATAATCATTTTCTTATCAAACTTCTCAAACAAGCTTTAGCTTCCATTGATGATTCTTTTCTTTTTTTTTGAGACAGAGTCTCACTGTGTTGCCCAGGCTAGAGTGCCATGGCGTCAGCCTAGCTCACAGCAACCTCAAACTCCTGGGCTCAAGCGATCCTCCTGCCTCAGCCTCCCAAGTAGCTGGGACTACAGGCATGCGCCACCATGCCCGGCTAATTTTTTCTATATATTTTTAGTTGTCCGATTAATTTCTTTTTAATTTTAGTAGAGACGGGGTCTCGCTCTTGCTCAGGCTGGTTTCGAACTCCTGAGCTCAAACAATCTGCCCGCCTCGGCCTCCCAGAGAGCTAGGATTACAGGCGTGAGCCACCGCACCCAGCCCCATTGATGATTCTTGCTGGGTTGAGTTATTACTATGGTGATTGCAAATGCTGATCTTTTTTTTTTTTTTTTTGTCTTACAGCATCATTCCTTCACACTTATTAATTGGCATTCTATGAGGAACGATGTCCTATTATTTTCAGTGTGAAGTCATAGCTTCTTATTTATTCAATGGGTTATCATCTCTTACTATGATTATTTAACTTGATGTTCAAACCATCCCAGACTTGGCTAATGGGAGCCTCTTCTGGGTGGTTTCTGGGCCCTTTTTAAAACAACTTTACTGAGATATAAATTATATATATTAAAATGTACTCATATTACTATCATCAACTCTAATCACTAATCTGCTTACTGTTACTATAGGTTAGATTTATCTATTCTAGAACTTCATGTAAATGAAACTGTATAATATACATTATATATGTCACGTTTTGCTCAGCATGATTTTTGGATTCATTTATTTTTTTCTTTTATTTATTATCATTTTTTTTTTTTGGGGGGGTGGGAGTTGTGGGGAGGGTTGCCTTATTTGTTTTTGTCGACGGTCTCTCTGCCCTGGGTAGAGTGCAGTGGCACCACTGTTATTGCAACCTCTAACTCCTGGGTGCTAAGCAATCCTTCTTCCTCAGTCTCCGGGTGGCTGGGACTACAGGTGTGTGCTGCAACGCCCAGCTGGGTTTTTTTTTTTTTTCCTTGTCTTTTTGGTAGAGATGGGGCCTCACTCTTACTGAGGCTAATCTCGAACTCCTGAGCTCAAGCAGTCCTCCCACCTCAACCTCCCAGAGTGCTAGGATTGTAGGTGTGAGCCACCACGCTTGGCCTGGATTCATTTATATTGTTCCATTTATCAGTAGTTTCTACCTCTTTATTGCCGAGTAGTACTCTATTGAATGGATGTATTCTTTTGTCTACTCATCTGTTGATTGATAATTGGCTTGTTAACAGTTTTTGGCTATTGTGAGTAATGCTGCTACAAACATTTGTGCACAAGTCCTGTGTGGTCGTGTTTGTTTCTCAAGTGAATCACTGTGAATTGCTAGGTCATATGGTAGCTGTGTATTTAATATTATGTGAAATTGCCAAATTGCACCATTTTACATTCTCATCAGCAATGTTTCTTTCTTAGTTCTTTGTTAGGGGAAATTCCACAAGACGTAGGACCTATTTTGGATTGGGCTGATTTTTCATGATATTTACCATGTTCCTTTATCATTTCCATATATAGCTGGTAACAAGATCTAGAGGGTTGAGTAGATTCAAGTTTATTTTTTTAGTGGGAATATTTTATAGTTTGTGTTTCCTAATATATCACAGCAGGAGAAATGAAATGGGTGTTTCATTTTCAGTTGTGTTAGGATTGAGTTAGTTCAGGTGTCATTAGGCTGATCGATCCATTATAAAGTGTCCCATCAGTCTTTCGCTTAATGGTTTTACTTTTATTAAAAATCATTCCTCAGAAAATTATTTCAACAGGGTTTGCTCCAATTTCAGAAAGCAGAGGACAGGAGGGTATGTGAAAACAATAGGATGAGCATTTGCTTTATAGTTTCCAGCTGAAATCTTTTAAGTCTAATAAAGCATGTTGTCCTATGAATGCGTAAGAAGGCCTAAGAAAATTTTATAGACATAATATTACCATTTAAAAATTTCTAGTATATTATAACTTTAAACAAAAAGCTGAAAGAATTGTACAGTGAATACCTGTTTAGTCACCATCTAGATTTAATAATTTTCCTGTATTTAATTCATCCATATGCTGAATCATTTGACAGTAACTTTTCAATATCATGACACTTCATCACTGACATCCTAAGAAAATGCATCATCTAAGAAAATCAACACTAATTTCTTAATACTATCTAAAATCTAGTCAATAGTTATATTTTTCTCAATTGTGCTCAAGACATGACCTTAAAATTATAAAACTTGGCCAGGTACAGTGGCATGAACCTGTAGTCCCAGCTACTCAGGAGGCTGAGGCAGGAGGATTCCTTGAGCCCAGTAGTTAGAGGCTGTGGGGTACAATAATTGTGCCTGTGAATAGCCATTGCACTCCAGCCTGGGCAACATAGTGAGACCCCATCTCTAAAAAAGAAATTTATTAGAACTTGTCTATAGAAAAATTAAGACATTTTTTGCCTTTCGTTCCATTTTTTCTCAAATATGTCATTTTAAAGTTTTATTTTAAAAATAATGGATACTCATAAATAAACATTTTTTCTTGCTAAATATTGAATATATAAAAAAATATGTAAAGTTGTAAAGAACAGCAATGTAATGAACACTGGAAACTTACCACCCTGTTTAAGAAATGCATGTTACTATTACCTTTAAATTTCCCTTTGTGCCTTCTGTAATTTCATTGTATTTGTCTCCCTTTTCAGAAATGAACTTGAATGTTTTGGGTTTTCCCATATTTTGAAATTCCTGTGCAATGACATTCCTTGGCAAGAATTTTTTTTTTTACTTATAATTTTCTTAGATTTATGCATGTTGGTTGTATTGCTGTAATTCATTCTCCACCTCTACCCCCACCCCCAAATGGATATTTCACTATTTGATAAAATCTGTTCTATTTGTGGGCATTTGGATTGTTTCTAGTTTTTCTGGTGTTAAAATACTACCATGAACATTTTAATGCATATTTTCTAGTACACAAGTACAAGAGGCTTTCTAGGGTAATTTTTTTTAGATTGTAGACTATAATCCATGAGTGGGTTATGAAAGCAGTATATTGGATCATAATTAGGTTTTAAAAATGATAGAGTGCTTCACGTAGTAAATTTTTTATGATACATGTTTAAATTATAAAAATTTTTATAAATGTACTGTGTTATGATGTAAGACTTACTGTAGAGTGAGGCAGAGATGTTTGAAAAAGACTATTTTAAAAAGATAAGCATCAAGGATAGAATTACAAAATCGAGGGCAATGTTCTCAATGGGGTTGAATTTTTTCCCCGCAGGGGACATTCTACATTGTCTGGAGATACTACTGCTTATCACAGCTGGGGGATTAGGGGGGTGGTTAGTGGATGCTCCTGTGCTACTGGCATCCGGTGGGTAGAGGTCACGGATAATGCTAAACATCCTGTAGTACACAGGACAGCCCCCCACACCAGAGTCTAAAGTGCTAATGGTGAGAAACCTTGTTTCTATGATTTGCATATCTTCACATTTATTAGATTATTCCAAAATGATTTTCAAAGTGAATGTACCTGTTTTCACTCTCACTAACAGTATACAAAATGTTCTACCTTTTTTTTCCAACATTTGATATTACAGACTTTAAAATGTTTGTTATACTAGGGTAAATTGAAGACTTTCATTGTCTTAATTTGCATTTCTCACGGCCAGTGAGGCTGAGCACCATTTTCTGTATTTATTGGCCATTTGCATTTCTTCATTTGCTCTACATGTCTTTTAGGTGTTTTTCCTATTGAGTGCTTTTGTGTGCGTATTCATGTGCGTGTTTTGTGCATGAGAAAAACAGTATGAGTCCTTACATGTATTCTAGATATGATTTCTATATTTTGCTTCAGGTATCTTCTCCCAGTTCGTTTTGTGTTTTCATTTCCTTTTTTCTTTAGGAGAAATGTCGTTTACTTAAATAGAGCCATCCTTTCCTTGAACATTTTGTGAAAAGTATTTTTTAGGGGTTTTATGTAGTGCAAACTCTGCCTTGGAACTTCTTGAATCTTTAACAGTACAATCTTGCTAAGGATCTCTTTACCTTTCTAATATGTTATTTTACTTGTTAGAATGTCTTCTTTTTATGTTAATACTTTTTGGGCCCTGTTTTGTTCTGGAGACATTTCTGACAAGTTCCTACTGAGTCTCTTAAGTTCGAACACATCTGAAGAATTCCTGGCTACTATCAATTAGTTACAAAGTGGGGGAGGGTGGTTACTATGTTTTCATAAAGATAATCCTGTCATTTTACTTGCAAATTGGAATGTATAAAAATATTTTTATTTTTAAAAGGTTGGAGGAGAGATAGAGAAAAGAGAGATGATCAAGATGAAGTTTCCAGTGTGAGAAGTGAGGGTGGTAATATCCAAGGTTCCTTTAGAGGCCGAGGAAGAGGCCGAGGACGGGGAAGAGGACGAGGCAGAGGAAATCCTCGATGTATGACATGATTTTTTGTTTTGTTAAGTTAGATGAACTTTGAAAAAAGTGAGCAAGCCCTGTTAGTTTTTCACATTGTTCTATATTATGTTTTAACTAATTTTTTTGGTCTGATAATAAAGATGGTCTTATGTTTGTTACTCCTTGATAAACTTCACTTTGGATTTTTCTTTATTTGTAGTAACTATTTTTTAATTTGTGATCACCTTTCTTTTTCTTTATTCACATCAAGCGAACTTTGATTATTCATATGGTTATCGAGAACATGGTGAAAGGACTGCTCAACCATTTCAAACAGAACTTAATACCAGTATGATGTATTACTATGATGATGGTACAGGTGTACAGGTGTATCCTGTGGAAGAAGCATTGCTTAAAGAGTATATTAAGCGTCAAATGTAAGTGGATATCAGACATAAGCAGATGGGATAATAAAATCTGTAGCAATATCAAACTTTAATGTCATTGAGAGTGAATGTGTTATAATGCATTTTCTAAACTATTTATTAGTAAAAGTTGAAGAATGTTAACATTTATTATTTAGGAAATATGAGCAAAATAGGTTAAGTATTTTTAAAAAATTTATATTTGGTTTATATTTATAGAAGTCTCCTGCTTTCTTTACTGTTTAGGTATTTTTCTCCTCAAAGGACATTAGTTAAAATGTCATTGCATAATATGAGTAAATATAGTAAATATAAGAAGATAAAGCTTCTATATATATTTGAAATTGAACAAGTGAAACTTGGCTCATTATTTGCAAATAGATACCTATATTAAAATTTACAAATGAACATAAATGACAGAAGTGATTGTAGATATCTTTTGACATTCTTCTTAGTAATTGTCTTCTGAATTCTAAGTTTGTTCTTTATTTTTTATGTTCTTTCTTTGTGACACATATTAAAGGGGACTACCTAATCTTTTACTTCAGACATCTTACTCTAGTTCTCATAGTAGTTGCTTTCTGGATACTGAATGGGAAGTCAGGAGAATCTTAGTTTGTTCTGTTGTCTTTAAGAAAGAAATAAACCCTGTGCCTATTAGTACTTTATAGGGTATTTTGCATATTTATATAGTGTGTTTATATAGTGGCAAGAAAGAAATGTTCCCAAGTGATTTGCATAACCAGTTTGCTAAAATTTGAATTTTTTTTTCCTATCCTTACAAAGTGAAGGAAAGGGGCTATTTTTGAAAGGGCATAAGCATTTTCAAAACATCTATCTTTATTTAAGAAAGAAAATGGACCCTACTCTGTTACTAGAAAATAATTTCTTCATCAGCATCTGCCAGGCACTTCATGGTAGATTTGATTGGCTTACAATGCGGAACAACTTGTTTATTTTGTTCTTGCTTCTTTTGTTACAGTTGATGCAAACACTGAAGAAAAGGGCCTTTTTATGGGGAGAAAGTGCCTGGCATGTGGCTATCAGCTTCATACCACTATTCCTGTCTTTTTTGTAACTCTTGCTGCCAGGTCCCTTCTGAGACCTGACAATGGACATGCAACTCCATGTCAGGAAAATCGGCCTCCATTGTGCTCATTCAAGTGAGGGAGGAGCAGAGCTACTTCAGTGTTGACAAAATTTTCTGATCATGCAGTGTAGAATCCAGAGCTTCTAAGGTAGGACATGATAATGTCCCCTAGGACACTGAGCAAAATGTCAGACATGGCATTGGTCATGCTTCCTTTTTTTTTTTTTTTTTTTGTTATTGTTTTAGTACTAGTATTTTTGGCAAATGCTGGTAGAGCACCAGGTTTAAAGATGGCTTGTTATTGTTATCATGCTTTGATTAGTGCAGATTTGGCTTTGAGGCATCATGTTTTTGATTTTGTATTACTGGGTTTCTAATGTATAGATAGGCTGATTAGGGTTTTGTTTTTTCTTTTTGAGAAGTCAGTTAGTTTTCTTACTCTTGTGGAAAAATGATGCTAAATATATTTCAAAGTAAGAGGCTTAAATGCATTCAGAACAGTTGAGTTCTTTTTTTCAAAATCATTTTTTAGTGAAAATTTAATTTGTTTTTGATGACAGAATATTGAAATTTTAAGATCTTGATTATTTCTAGCTGGGACAATCTCTCTTGGTATTCGGATTTAGAAATTGGTATGTTTCCAGCCCATTAGAAGTTTTAAAATATGTATACTGTAGGTAATAGGGTGATGTATGAATTTATTCAGATACCGTGGTTTTTACAAAGTACTACATTAAAAAGGCAGCTCATCATTGATTCAGGGAAATTTGTATCTCACATCAAAGAACTTGTGACTAAATCAAATGTGTTAATGTCTGAAATTTTAGAATTTCAACGTGTGTTATGGGTTTACCACATGCCTGACACTATGAATAGGGCTTTTGAGGTGTAGCGACAATCAGAATGTTCGTTTCTTCAAGACTTACATTATTTTCTTCAATGTTTAAGAAGAGATAATGATTTTCTAGTGTTAGTAATCTCTAAAGAAGCTTTGCATTGATAGTCAGAAATATCAGACTGTAAAGAAAAATTTGGATGTTTATATTCTTAAAATCAGGTGATTTTTTTCCCCCCCTCTTGCAGCAAAACGTAGCTCAAAACCAGTTTTCAGTTATAGGTGCCTACTTTTTTCAAAGTTAGAATTTGGCCTAAATACTTAAAGGGTATCTTTAGTTACTAAACTTTACATCCAAAAGTATGAGCTGGTTTGCTTTCTTGTAACTTGCCACTCATCTTTGAAAACTCTCTGTGATTTGGAAATACTGTAGGATTATAAAACTGTAGGTCACACCATCACTGATGTCATGTATTTTTTTTTTCCTACATTTTCCCCTATTTGTGTTGCTCTGTCTCTTTAAAATCCCATTGTCGATTTTCTTTGTGGAGGCTATAATGGAAACATTCATTTCTCAAAGGCTATTAAATGTATTCTGAATGTTTGTATCTTGGGATTTGTAGTTATTGATCATATTGACAGTTTTTCTATTTACATTTCTCTTTGAAAAAATTTAAGTGGGTCTGTACTTTTCTAGAAAAAATAAGATAATCTAAGCCTTTTCTGTATTCTCCCACATACCTCATAGTGTCATTGATACTCATATTTATTCTGTTCATTCTTAATATAGTATGTTCATCAAAAAAGAGGAGAACTTGAATCATTCAAATATATAATCGTGTTCTGCACATGTGCCTATGTGTTCACTAAGTTTTTAACTAAGCATTGTGCTGGTTACCATGTCAGTACTTTGTCAGTTTAGAAAACAAACTGTACTTTACCTAAACTTGATTAAGTATACTTCTAGTATACCATTTTTCTCAATGATTAGGAAGAAGTTGGAAGGCACTATGCTGACATGTGTTTAGCTTTGTTATTTAATGTTTAAATGAAGCAAGTAGAAGTGGCTTGGTAGTGAAAATTTTTGCTTAATTGACTCATTTTTTAAAAATCAATTATTGAACTATTTTAAAATAAAATGAGCTGCTTAATTCTTTATACTTAGTGAAGCTGATCTAAATCAAAGTTAATATTTTTTGGGAAATAATGAGTATTTCATATTTTTCTACTCATGTATAAGAGAAATTATAATTCAGTAGAGTTTTTTGCTATTTTACATTTACCCTATCTATGTTGTATTAGACCTATATGATAGCATTAACAAAATTAAAATTTTTCATAGCAGTTGACGTGTAAGCAATAGACATTTTTATTTCCTACTGAATAAATAGATGAAATTTATATTATTTCTCTTTTTAGTGAATATTACTTCAGTATAGAAAACTTGGAACGGGACTTCTTTCTTCGGAGAAAGATGGATGAACAAGGTTTCTTGCCTATTTCCCTGATTGCTGGTTTTCACCGTGTTCAGGCTCTCACTACAAACCTTAATCTCATCTTAGAGGTAATTATTGTTTTTTTTAATGACCAGTATGATTTATTTTAAAGTAACTTTGCATAAACTTCAGTATCCCTTCAAAAATATAGTTAGCACTGGGCCGGGCGTGGTGGCTCACGCCTGTAATCCTAGCTCTCTGGGAGTCCGAGGCGGGCGGATTGTTTGAGCTCAGGAGTTTGAGGTTGCTGTGAGCTAGGATGACGCCACGGCACTCTAGCCCGGGCAACACAGTGAGACTCTGTCTCAAAAAAAAAAATATATAGTTAGCACTAAATCAATACTTGGATTAATATGTAACCAAACATCTTTATGGGGACAGGGACTTCCTAGTAATATTAAATTTCTGTTATAAACAGCAAAACAAATATAACTAAGAGATTAACCCAGGTACCAAATTACATTTTACAGCAACATGTCTCATGTGCCTACCATCTTCAACTAGATAAACTACAGTATATGCCTTGGAATCTGGGTAAAAGGGTTCTATTTCTGTGCCTGTTGGGATATACACTGGCTCAGGATGAGGAGTCCTATAGTTCTAGAGGCTGGGATGTCCAAGATTGAGGAGGCATATCTAGTGAGAACCTTCTTGCTGGTGAGGACTCTCTGAAGAGTCCCAAGGTTCAGGGTATCACATGGTGAGGGAACTGAATATGTTAACGGGCTCCATTTTAAAAAAACGATCTATACTTTTCACTCAACTTTCCTGTGAACCTAAAACTTCTCTTAAAATCAAAGTATTACAAAAAATTAAAAGAAAAAGACAAAAATAGACAATCTATAGTTGCTTAAGGCTCAGACAGCATCTCATGGTTTTTCTCTATTTTGTAAAACCTAAATAAATGTCTAACCCTGGAAACCCCTGAAATAATTGCTCATGATGTTACCACCTGTTTTAAACCTGATCCTTCAAGCTTGAATCTTTTCGAGCATTCTTGGTCCTTTAAATTTGTTCAGGTTGCTGTAAAATAGCATGTATTCTCATTTATTAAAATTTTGAGAATTTCTCATGTGCTACAGAACAGCAAATTTTAAAAGTCTTTCCATTTGTCATTTTACTGGTTTCATTAACTCTCTTGTCCTGTATCTAGAAATGCTTTCAACATCTTTGGTTTTTCTTTGTTTGCTACATACATAATCAAATTTACCCTGTACAGCCAGTTCATTTCCCTACACACAGCCCTTAGCAACTGATGATCTGCTTTTTGTCCCTATAATTTTGATTTCTCCAGAATATCATATAAATAAATCTTAGAGGTTGTAATCTTTTGTTTCTGATTTCTTTCACTTAGCATAGTGCTTTTGATATTCATCTGTGTTGTTGCTTGTGGCAGTAGTTCTTTCATATTGCCAACTAGTACTCCATAATATGTACACAGTTTATCGATTCACTTATTGATGGGCATTCAGATTGTTTTCAGTTTTTGGAGATATGAGTAAAGTATAAAGGTCTTTGTGTAGGCATATGTTTTTATTTCTGTTAAGTATCCAGGCTTGTGATCTCTGGAAAGTATAAATATGTATTTATCTTAATGAGAAACTGCCGACCTATTGTTCAAAGAGGCTTTACAATTTTGCATTTCCACCATTATCATTATGTGTGAAACTTGTTATTCCACAGCCTCATTAGCGCTTGATATTGTCAATTTTTTGAGTAACAGATATATAGTAGTTTCCCATTATGGTTTTAGTTTGCATTTTCCTGGTAACTACTGCTATTGAGCATCTTTTCATGGTCACCTGTATACCTTATTTGTTCAAATGTCTGCTCAAATCTTTTGTCCATTTCTTAATTGAAGTGTTTTTTAAAAATTAATTGTAAGAGTTCTTTATTCTGGATACAAGTTCTTTATGTGTATTTTACAAATTTTTTTTCCCGTTCTTTGTCTTTTCATTTTCTTAACATGCTTCTTTGAATAGCAAGTTTTTGAACACATGCGTGCTTTGTGTTTTAAAAACCAGCAATAGGAAAATCCAGGTTTTCAAAACATAAAATAATGATTTTTTGATGTGTGATTAATAATGCTTTGTTTTATGAAAATAATAACTTCAAGCAATGCCATTATTGCATTTATTTATTTATAGATAACTATTTTTCTTTTATTTCAAAATATTAAGGGGGTACAAATGTTTTAGGTTACATGGATCATTTTTGTAATGCTTTGGTCCTGGCTATAGATGTGCCCATCACCCAAATAGTGTTCATTGTACCCATTAGGTAGGTTTTTGCCCCGTCCCCCCCGCCCCCCTCCCCATTGAGTTTTACTTCACTCTGTGCACATATGTGCTCATCAGTTAGCTCCAATTTAATAGTGAGTATGTGTGGTGTTTGTTTTTCCATTCTTGAGATACTTCCCACTTTAGGAGAATGATCTCCAGTTCCACCCAGATTATTGCTAAAGGTATTAATTCATCTTTTTTTAATGGCTGAGTAGTACTCCATGGTATACATATACTGCATTTTATTAATCCACTTATGAATAGATGGGCACTTGGGTTAAGTCCACATCTTTGCAATTGTGAATTGTGCTGCAGTAAACATTCGAGTACAGGTGTCTTTTTGATGAAAAGTCATCTTTTACTTTGGGTATATACCCAATATTGGGATTGCTGGATCAAATGGTAGGTCTACTTTTAGTTCTCTGAGGAATCTCCATACTGGTTTCCATAGAGGCTGTACTGATTTGCAGTCCCACCAACAGTGTATAAGCGTTCCTTTCTGTTTACATCCATACCAGCATCCGCACCAGCAAGTCTATTGTTTTTGGGCTTTTTAATAACTGGGGTAAGGTGATATCTCATTGTGGTTTTAATTTGCATTTCCTGGATGATTAGTCACATTGAGCATTTTTTCATATGTTTCTTGGCCATTTGTCTATCTTCTTTTGAGAAGCTTCTGTTCATGTGTTTTGCCCATTTTTTAATAGGGTTTTTGTTTTCTTGCAGATTTTCTTGAGTTCTTTGTGAATTGTGGATATTAGCCCTTTATCGGATGTGTAGCTTGCAGATATTTTCTCCCATTCTGTAGGTTGTCTGTTTGCTCTGTTGATTCTTTTCTTAGCTGTGCAGAAGCTTTTTAGTTTAATCAAACTCCATTTATTAATTTTTGTTGTTGCCATTGGGGTCTTAGTCAAAAAAATATGGAATGCTTCATGAATTTGCATGACTTCCTTGCATAGGGGCCATGTTGATCTTCTCCATATCATTCCATTTTTACTATATGTGCTGCCAAAGGAAGCACTACAGGTAACTATTTATATAAGTTTCTATACTGTAATCTAAAAAACACTTTTTTCTGCAAGTTTTATTCTTGGGGCAAAATATCATGACTATTATTGATAGAATGAGGGTGTCTTTTCTTTTTTTTTTTTTTTCGAAATGGAGTCTTGCTGTGTCACCCTAGGTAGAGGGCAATGGCACCATCACAGCTGACTATAACCTCAAACTCCTGGGCTCAAGTGATCCTCCTACCTCAGCCTCCCAAATAGCTGGGACTACTAATAGGCACACGCCGTGACACCCGGCTAATTTTTCTATTTTTAGTTAGAGACAGGATCTCTCTCTTGCTCAGGCTGGTCTCAAACTCCTGAGCTCAAGCAACCTTCCCGCCTCAGCCCACCAGAGTGCTAGCATTACAGGCGTGAGCCACTGTGCCCAGTCAGAATGAGTTTATTAACTGCTGCCAGTGTACTGTAGCAAAAATTCAACTCAGCTGTCATCTTCTGTGAAGTTGTCACCAGTTTTTCCCAGTCTCTCTGCATTTGTAGGAATCTGGTTGTAATTGCATTATTGTATGCTTTCTTTGTTTGTAGTCCTATTAAGTTCATTTTTTTGGGAGACAGTCTCACTCTTTTGCCCGGGCTAGAGTACTGTGGCATCAGCCTAGCTCACAGCAACCTCTAACTCCTGGGCTCAAGCGATCCTTCTGCCTCAGCCTCCCGAGTAGCTGGGACTACAGACATGCACCACCCTCCCCGGCTAATTTTTTCTATATATTTTTAGTTGTCCGGCCAATTTCTTTCTATTTTTAGTAGAGACGGGGCCTCGCTCTTGCTCAGGCTGGTCTCGAACTCCTGAGCTCAAACGATCCTCATGCCTCAGCCTCCCAGACTGCTAGGATTACAGGCGTGAGCCACCGTGCCTGGCCCCTGTTAAATTCTTAAGCACAATTTTGAGATCACTGATTATCTGCTTCCAAACCTTTAGCAGTAAGGAATGATTTTTAGAAGGAAGTTTTGGGTTACAATGCTATTGTAGTTAGCGTTGATATATATAGTAGCTGATGATACAGTAAGAAATAGTACCTTGTGAAAAGCAGAAACACATAAGCAATAGCAATTTAGAACAGCAGAAGTCTGCATTCACATAACATTATTATGCACCTACCATTCGTAATAGTGGGAAAGGTATCCTTTTTTCTAATAAGAAAGTAAGGCTTCATTAGGCTTTGCAATGTAAACATCAAGATCATGGACCTCAGAACATGTCCCTTGTAGCTCTGTGACCTTGGGCAGTGTGTCCTGCGAGAGTAATACATACTTCCTAGGGTTGTCATGAGGGTGAACTGTGGTAATGACGGTATCTGGCACATATATCAAGCTCTAACTAAGCATTTGCTATTATTGTTAGCCTTCAAGGATATTTTTCTACCCATTACTGCTTTTATCTTCATTCATTTCATTTCTGTCAACTTCTTCCCACATGCATTTGATTGTGCTCAAATCTTTCCTTTCTTGAAAAAACAGTTAAGAGAGGAGTAAAATACTTCGGCTGACACCCGTGTCTGTCCTGGTTGAGTATGTCTACACAGCCAAACTTGTTGAATCTGTTTACTCCCTCCCATTTATTTTCTTTCAGCTTACTGCATTCTTGATTTCTTACCCGTAACTGAAAGTTACGTGTCTTCCTTTTGTTAGGTCCAGTTGATCTTAGTCCTGTAGCTTACCAGTTGTATAACTGTACAAGTTATTAATATTTAACCTCTTCATGCTTCAATTTTCTTG